AGAATTGGGCTAAGACGGAGTTGGAACGATGGCAAGTCAGAACCATATATGAGGCTATCACACAATCTGAAGCCTTAACCGACTTCAAGCATGACATGCATGACAGGGCGAAAGGGAAGGACACGAGGACTAGTCATGCCAAATGTGGGGCAGATCGAGGCCGAGGCAAGGAGCAACAGACACATCCTAAGCAACACGACTCTTACAAGTCGGATGGCAAGAAATTCGGGAACTAGAATTATACAGAGAGAAAGGCGTAGACTACAAATGGAGATGGTTGCTACATATGCGGTGGGCCGTATGGTTATGCCAAGTTCCTGGAGATAAAAAACCTTAGTGTTATCCTGCGAGAGCAAAAGGAGAAAGATGCACAAGAGCAAAGACAAGACGTGGGGACAATGCAATTGGTCTTGGTTAGACTACGCGAGGCTATTGCCAAGCAGACGGAGAAGCCAAAAGATTATAGCACGCAATATGTAGACATCTCCATCAATGGATGAACAACTCGTGTCATGGTAGACTTTGGTGCAGAATCCAACATTATGACCAAGACGATGACAACAAAATTGGGACTGAGTTACAATCCGAGCAACACATGCCTCAAGACGGTCAATGCATCACCATCCCGTGTGTAGAGTTGCCCAAGGAGTAAGCATCACGTTGGAAAAGTGGCAAGGTAAGACTAACTTTACTGTCGCTCTTTTAGATATATTTGATATCATTCTTAGGCAAGAGTTCTTCCAAAAGTGTCATACGATGATCGATCCCTACCTCCAACGACTCATGGTCATGGAGCAAGAAAGATCATGCATGGTGCCTCTAGTCAAGGTGCCGAAGAAGGAAGGACATTCCCAATTGTCGGCCATGCAGATTGTGAAAGGCCTAAAGAAAGAAGAGCCAACGTTCATAGCCACCATTGCAAGTTTGGAAGAAGACAATGGTGCTAAGGAGTCATTGCCACCGATCATAGAGAAGGTTCTTGAAGAGAACAAGGACGTGATGTTGGACGAGCTGACAAAGATCCTCCCTCTCATGTGCGACGTAGATCACAAGATCGAGTTGGAGCTTGGAGCTAAACCACTAGCACATGCTCACTATCACATGGCTCCACCCGAGTTAGAGGAGCCAAGGCAGCAGTTAAAGGAGCTCCTCGAAGTTGGTTACATTCTCCCGTCCAAAGCACATTATGGCGCGCTGGTTCTGTTTTAAAAAAAGAAAGATGGGTCATTGCGCCTATGCATGGACTATTGGGTTCTCAACAAGGTGATAATCAAGAACAAGTACCCCATCCCGCTGATTGCTGACTTGTTCAACCGGCTTGGACATGCCAAGTACTTCACCAAGGTGGATCTCCGGAAAGGCTACTACCAGGTACGCATAGCAGAAGGGGATGAACCCAAAACAGTATGCGTGACGAGATATGGATCTTACAAGTGGTTGGTGATGCCCTTCGGCTTAACCAATCGCACCCTCCACCTTTTGCACGTTGATAAACAAAATCTTTCATCCCTACTTGGATTAGTTTGTCGTAGTATACTTGGATGACATTGTCATCTATAGCAACACCTTGGAAGAGTATGTGGAACATTTCAAGAAGGTTTTCCAAGTCTTACGAGATAACCAACTCTATATCAAGTGAGAGAAATGCGAGTTCGCCCAGCTTGAGGTGCACTTCTTGGCTTAGTTGCGCGGACTCTTTACTTTTGATGCCGCACTCGTCTCAGATTCTTCAAAAATACACTACTTTTAGCGAATCCGACACGCACCCGTTGACATTTTTGAAGAGTTCAAGCAACATAGTTTTTTGGGACATATCATCAACCAAGGTGAACTGTTGTTGGACGAGGCCAAGATATGGGCAATCAAAAAGTGGGAGGCACCCACAAAAGCGACCGAGCTGAGATTTTTCCTTGGACTTGCGAACAATTATTGCATGTTAATAAGTGGCTACTCCCCCACGGTAGCTCCGCTGACTGAGCTGCTGAAGAAAAATAAGCCATGGGTTTTGGAGCGAGGAGTGCCAAAAAGCGTTCGAGAGTCACAAAGCCGCTGTGACAGAAAAGACGGTCTTGACGCTGCCCGACTTCTCAAATACATTTGAAGTACATACAGATGCTTCAGACTTCACTATTGGGGGGAGTCTTAATGCAAGATAGACACCTAAGAGCGTTCGAGAGCTGCAAATTAAATGAGATCGAACAACACTACATTATGCATGAGAAAGAGATGACGACTATTGTACATTGCCTACATACGTGGAGATACTACTTACTAGACTCCAAGTTTGTGGTCAAGACCGACAATGTGGCCACTAGCTACTTCCAATCACAAAAGAAAATCACTCTAAAGCAAGCGAGGTGGCAGGACTTTCTATCCGAGTTTGACTATGTCTTGGAGTATAAGTCGGGAAGGGGCAATGTAGTGGCTGACGCACTGAGTAGAAAAGCCGCACTTGCAGCAATCACCACAGTGAGTTGTGACATCTAAGATGTTGCCCAGGGCAAGATAAGACGTTTCTGGGTGGAAGACAGTCTATTACTCACTGTCGATCGGAGGGTCTATGTACCCAAGTTTGGATCTATCAGGCAACAAATCATTAAAGAGAGCCACAACACACCGTGGACAAGGCATCCGGGACAACAACGTATGAAGGCGTTAATCAAGGCAATATATTATTGGCCACGCATGCGGGACGACATAGAGTGCTACGTGCAGACGTGTCTTGTGTGCCAATAAGACAAGGTGGAGCAACGACAATCGGGAGGACTACTTGTGCCACTACCCGTAGCAGAACACTCATGGGAAAGTGCGACCATGGACTTCATCACTTCTTTGCCCAAGTCCGATGCGTATGGAACGATAATGGTTGTGGAGGATAGGTTTTCAAAGTATGCGACCTTCATGCCCGCCACAGCTTGTTGCACCGCCAAGGAGGTTGCCAAATTATTTTTCAAGAACGTGGTGAAGTATTGGGGCTGCCAAGACATATAATCAGTGATCGAGACCCCCGCTTCAACGAAAACTTTTGGAGGGAGTTGTTTGAGATACTTGGCACAGAGCTATATTTTTCCACTAGTTTCCACCTGCAAAACAAATGACCCAACGGAACGTGTCAATGCCTTATTGGAGTGCTACCTAAGGCACTACGTGAGTGTGCATCAGAAGGATTGTACTAGGCTTCTGGATATGGCGTAATTATCCTACAATTTACAACAAAGCGAGTCCACCGAGCGCACACCATTTGAGTTAGCGACTGGCCAACAACCCTAAACTCTGCATTCGCTACCATCCGTTTTTCATGGAAAGAGTTTGGGAGCTTACCAAGATGACAATGGATAGGAAGGGCAATTTAACACTGCCAAGTCATACTAAGACAAAACAACTAAGAAGATGAAGAAGTTCGTCAACCGTAAGCGTCGTCCCACGGTTTATAAAGTCAGAGACATGGTCTTGGTAAAGTTCAACCCAAGACAGTTCAAAGCACTAAGGGGAATACATCAAAACTTAGTGCGTAAATACGAGGGCTCGTTCAAGATCGTTGCCAAGGTGGGCAAGATCTCTTACAAAGTGGAGTTACCTCCACACTTCAAGATTCATCCGGTCTTTTATGCGAGCGTCCTCAAGCCATACCATGAGGACAAGGATGATCTAAGCCGAAACCAATCAAAACGGGCGCCAATAACTGTCACTATCTTGCACGATCGTGAAATCGAGTCCATCATCGACTACCAAACAAGGAGGAAGCGAGGTCAACTAGCCATTGCCATGTTCCTTCTACATTGGAAGGGACAATATCCGGAGGAGGCCATATGGGAGCAATATGAGGACTCGTGGCAATTTAAAGACCAAATTCGGGAGTTTTTTCAACGACAATGCGCCGCGGTCGTCGCATCAATAGGTGGGGGGAGAGTGTCATGTACTGCCACTTTGCCCATCAAATTCAGCATAAAAATATGGGGGAAAGACGTAGAGTTAGGTAGAGGTTTGTTGAAGATTCTAGAAATCCTTAGATATTTTCTTGGAAGGCTTTATAATTCTCTAGACTTGTAGAGAATCCTAGAATAGGGATTAAATTGTAAATATGTAAGGACTTGTGTAGTAATTATTATTTATATTTTGGCTCCTAGGAAGTAGTATAAATAGAAGGGCTCTCATTTGCAAGGGCATCCAACAAAGTGTAAGCATTCTCCAAGCAATACAACAAGCCTTCTTTAAAAACTCTCTTAGTCTTTCTTTTATTCTCTTAGTGATCTTAAGTTTCAAAGGGCTTACTTGAGTTTATAAGAACATGAAAGATTCGTGAGTAAGTTGTCAAGTGCCGCACTGAACATTAGTGAGACTCTAAGTCCGTGACACTTAAGTATACTTTTGTCGGATTTAGTTCTTTAATTATTCAAAAACCTATTAGCTTTGGTCCCTTAACTATACACTTATCAGTTTTAATCCTTTAATTATTCATAACTTATCAGCTTTGGTCCCTTAACTATACACTAACCGGTTTTAGTCCTTTAAGAAAAGTCCTTAACTAGACTATTTAGTGCATTTTATATTTAGTACTGAAATTAAATGAACCTTAATAGAACAGAACATATGCAAAGGAGCCACATAACATTACTTTAACTGAGTTAGAATTAAACCTTAGTTGGTTCATTAGTTAAAAAGTTTGATTTTCCTTTAAGTACTCCCTTTCTTCCGGTTTATATGACCTAGTTTTCTTTTTTAATTTGTTCCAAAAGAATGATTTCTTCCCAAATTTGAAAATAATGAACTTAAAATTTCCATTTTACCTTTAATAGCAAATTTGTATAGCCACACAAATACTTTGTATTTACAAGTTTTAGAAGTCTTATAGCCACACATATGTTATGTCATGTCTAAGACTAGTCATGTTTTAAAGCTTCCTTTTTATTTAACCTTGATGCCCAGTCAAACAGTGAAACAAACTAAAGTGAAGTTCTTATAAATTTGTGACTTTTACCAGGATAGTGATATCGACTTTATTACCTGAGATATTTAGCTCCACGGATATCTTTCTGTTCGAACTTTATCGAGCTATAGCCACCATCTATAGGACCTTCAAATGAATCAAATCCACCCTCAGCACCGACAAAATATGGTGAATAGTCATCATCTATCAGGCTGTGATGGCTGGCTTGTCTCCCTGGTGATGCTGCTTGTAGTATAGAGTTAGTAACTTGGTGACACTGACAAGTATGGTAGCCTCTGTATGTGATCTCAAATCCAGTAGGATCAACATCAGACCTTTGCATTTGTTTTGTTGCCAGACAGTTGTCAATGTGACGAAATGTACATCTATAGTAACCTCTGTAAAGATATGTAAAACTCAACATCAATACATATGACTCTTGTTGTATGTTGTTTTTTTCTTAATTATGTACATATAAAGCAGCTGAATCACTGAAAGAAGATAAGAACTTGCGAAATTTAAAGCTGAGGAGTACATAACATGATTTTAGTTAGTGCATTTATATTTAGTATTGAAATTAAATGAATTTGAATACAATAGAACGTATGTAAAGGATTCACATAACGTACTTCAACTAATTTAGGATTAAATCATAGTTGATTGATTGAAAAGGTTGATTTTCCTTTTAAGTATTTTTTATGAATTTATGTTTTTATGCAGGGTAGTGAAATTGACTAACCTTGGAAACTTAGCTCCAAAAATATCTTTCTGTCCATATTTTCTCCAGCTATATCCATCATCCGGAGGACCTTCAACTTCACTCTTAGCGTTGAATCTTACTTGTTCGAGAAACTGTGATTTTCTGCTGACACCCATAAAAACCAGGTAACTTCACATAGAAAAATAATTCCATATCTGTAGTTAAAAGAAAGAAAGGACTTTCAACACATATAGTCCTAGGACTTGCGGTTTTAAATTATGTTGCTCAGACTCTCAAAAATTGTTGTTGCACCTGTATTGAATCATCTAAAAATATACTACTTTTGGAGGATGTAATACGCGCCCTTTGGAATTTTTGAAGAGTTTGAGCACTATAGATTTCAAACATACCGTCAAACTTTTGTATAACCGCCTGTCATTATCTGTAATGCTAGCATTATGCTATATATAATAGGCAAATTTTCTTTGAAACTGATATTTTACTCTATATAACAGAACTTTACCTATCACCAACAACTACCATTGTACTCTTTCTATCTAATAACAACCTTATCCAAATATGTATTCATTTTTTGTTTTATAATCTAATAACTAAAAAGCAATCTATTTTATGTAAAGTTTAAATCTCATCCTTAGACCAACCAAGTGACCCCTGAGACCCAAGGGGAAAGTGTCATATAAAATACCCCCCTATCCATTTTTATTTGTCTGTTATTAACTTGGCACATCCTTAGGGAGCAATAAATAGAAAAACAATTTTACCATATCACCTTTTTGAACATGATAAATTCAATGCTTTTAAAAATGACTATTATCTCTTAATTTTCTCAGGACATATAAAGGTTAACATCAGTTTTTAGTATAGCATGCAAGTAAAAGTGGATGGAGAGAGCATAAAATACAAGAAAGAGTTGTTTGGATGGTAAGCAACCCTTACTTCCAATCCTAAGATTGTGAGTTCACCGAGCAAAAAGGTGGGAGGTAGGTCCTAGGGAGAGGTAAGATAAAAAAAAATGACCTTCTTTTTGAAATATGTATGAGCTTCTGATGATCTTCGGAACTCCTTTTCTTGTCATCACTCCTAGGATTTCCATCACCAGATACCTTTGATTCGATTGACCGAGCTGCCGGAAGGGATTGGACTGGTGAGCCACTCCATTTGAGAATTAACAGAGATTGCTCATAAGAAGAAAGTATCTTCTGCAGAAGCAATTCCGGAATTGCTTCAGAAGTGGAAGGTACAGAGCTCAGGTAAGTTCTTAGCTGCTTAGTGTGTTCCATGCCTTGAGTTAGTTCATTGATGAGTAAGTAGTAATCCCAGGTAAAAGCACCATCCATATTTTAGTTTTCTTGATTGATGTTGATACCCTTGAACTGAAGTTGCACACTAAGTGGAGTGAAACTTAGATTATATAGAATTATATGCAGCTTAAACCACGATGTGGACTTACTTATGACTTATGAGTGAATTGCCATTAACAAAAAGATTACCAAGAGAATTTAGGATGAACAGTTGGTCAGATCTAATATAGCAGAAACTGTAAAAGTGAAGGCCTTAGAATAATTTTTCTGCGTGTTTAGACGTGTGGAAATTAATGAGACAAACTTTTGACCAATTCAAAACCTCCCTTTCCTCGTCCTTTCCTTCTATTGGTGAGATGGAGAAATATTGCAGATACAAAATCTTCAAAAAAGTAACAATGGTTGTATCATGTAATGTATTTTGTATTTTGTGGGTATGTTACCATACTTCTAAGTGGCAAAATTTGTTTTTATAAATAAGAATTTATATATACTTAGATAGAAGTGTTAAAATTGAAAAGATTCTATGTTGCTATCAAAATTAAGAAATTTAAATCTCAAAAAGCAAAAATATTACACATAAAATTAAGACAGAAAGTAATATAAAAAGTTTATTTAACTTCCTAAAGAGAGATATTTTTTATGTAAAATGGGATTTAGATGGAATGTGCAAAAAAGGGGGAAGAAGGTTTATGGTCTATGATACATATTGCTTTTTTTTTTTTTTTTGAAGTCTTGTTAAATTTGACTTTTCCCGAAGGGATAAAACACGATTTAATAAAGATCTTATCTTATTAAAAGAGTAATTATATTTGGTGTTTGTATGATTCAGTTAAAAGACCCGAGAATATTAGCGGGTGATTTCAGTTCCAGCCACGTGGTGGTGGTAACCGATGCCCGTTGCCCCCATTAACCTCTCTTTCTATTCTACACCACCTGCCCGAACTGCCCGTCACCCCATCCTATATATACCGAATTGGATTCATCTTGTTTCAACAATTTTTACTTTTCACCATGGCGAAACTCTTCGTTGCTGTCCTTTTCCTCTTATTCAACCTTTCACTTGCTCGTACTCCGTTTACTCAACCGGAAAATGACGTCACACACCTCAAACTTCCTTCGGAATATGACGTCGTTATCCCTGAACTTCCTCATACTCTACCTGAATCAGATGATTCAGCGCCTGCTGTTAACATCCCTAGTAAATCCGATCACGAAGATACTCGTTCCGTCCATTCAGTCCCGGTTACATTAGTCAGATTCCGGCCGATTAACCGTCGATTCAGGCTCCGATCGAGCCTACCGTTCCGCCTATGTCACCACCTGAAGCCGGGATCACAGCGTCAGATCCCTTTTGGTAATGATATGATACTGCCTTCTAAGAGAAACATTGACTTTGAGAAGTTTGTGAACCATATTGGTGTGCGTCAGATTCCGTCGGATCCGTTCAGTTTCCGCCACCATCGGTACAATGATAAGAAGATCTGGAAGTTCCTATATGATCGCGAGAGTTTTGGGGAAATGAAATTGAAGGATCAATTACCTCATCACCACCATCACCATGACGAAAACGAAGACAATGATCACGAACAGAGGCAGATCTCGATGTTTCAAATCAATCGTGAAAATCAAGGTAATTTTGGTGAGATTAAATCGAAAAATGAAAATCAATTTGTTGCTCATCAGGTTAATGATGAGTTTGACAAAAGATCAAAGCTTTATGCAAAGCACTATGAAATGAATTTGAGGAAGCGTTTTCATTATAACAATGGTGAAGAAGAAGAAAAAGCTAAGGAAGAGAATAAGTGGCATAAGAGGGAAAAGAAGAAAGGTGGATTCATGAGAGGTATTCGTAAGTTCTTGCATCACTACTTCGATTGAAGCATCTTTGCTTTGATATGCTGCATATTTGCGTTTTTGTGTTGTTGTTTAAAAGAACTATGGAAGTATCTATATGTTTTGATGTTGTTGTAAATAATTTGCATCCATGTGAGATGTAATAGGAAATATAATAGTAGTAATTTATTACTCTATACTATATCATATACGTTTTGTAATATGTTGCCATATGATTGTACTAGACATTTGTAAATCTTTGCTTTTACAGAACCACTTTGTTTAGTAAAAAATAGTCCTGTGAATAAAACATCCCGTGCTAGCAGGGTCCAGGGAAGCGCCACACACCCAAGGGGTGTGATGTTGCACGGCTCGAACCAGTAAGCTGTAAAGTCACATAATTACATATAATTATGCTGGAATAATCCTAAGCTTTGGATACCAACAGTAATCGTTATGCTTGGGTTACATTAGAATGAACGCCGTTGTCTCTTTCCTGCTCTCTCCCGTGCTACATAATCTGGTGTTAGTTAATTAATGGGTTCTATTGAATCTGATTTTCTAGAGGAAAACAATGAACTTGTTGATGTATCGAATGCCATGCCCTGATCGGCTCTTTGCGAAGGAAAGAGGATTGGCATGAAGTAGGGCAGAAGAGGAGATTGAGATATCCTTGTAATGGATATCTTTTACCTGCTTTCTGTGCCTTGATCGGTCTAATTCTTAAAAATCTTGATTGAACTACCTGAATAAAGTAAAAGAAATAGTCGTAGGTGATATGAATTCATTGAATCATGAATTGCAATGGACAAAGAGGATTCCTATAAATAGTGGTGGAACCAAATTTTTCACCAAGTAGAATTAAAATATAAAGAAATATATATAATCAGTACCTAAGGAGATCAACATAAAAATATCTAAACACATAAAAGTTAATTTTGACCTATCTATACCGTGATTTTGACTCCCCTGTACAAAAATATTTCTTCCCTTGCCTGTAAGGCAATTTTAATTGATTTGCGATTTTGGTTTAGTTGATTAATTCGTTGTGGAGAGGTATCAAACATTCATACTAGCATTAACTTCCCGAATGGAAAAGAAAAATCACAAGATTCTCAAAATATAGCAGAGCATGTATCAGTTTGTTGGGTGCTGGTGACCTCTAGGATGGAAGGCCATAGGCTGATTTGAATTGCAACTCCAATGGAGACTTTCTTGGTCCTGGGGTGAAGGCGGACTCAGAATTTGAGAGCAGTGCGGGCACTACTGGTCTGTGGCTACAAAAATATGTTGGAGTGGGAATCGAATCCAGATCTGTGCACTTAAGGATCATTTGTGCACCCTGTATCAACCAATGGAGCTACCTGACCTCTGTGAATGAGTGCCAATCAAAATTACATCTATATGCGTATATCTTTTTTGAGGTTATCGGGGGAACATGACACTCCTACCCTAGGGGTAGGTCTGCCTCTGTCCTGGGGTGTGATGAAGATTGACATTGGAGTGACAAATCCCAGAGAAAGGAGCAGTCTTGAGACCTTGTATAAAAACCTAGGCTGCACCCTTTCACCACACAAAGCCTTAATATTGATACTAAGATTTTTTAAGTTACCAGTTCATTTGAACCCACCCAGTACTTTCAAACATTAATTAATTCATATGTAAAAATTCATTGATATAGCAATAAAGAATTGATAACTTTTAAAATATATTGGGCTCAATTTTAAGGACCCACCTTAAAGACTGAATTTATATAGCCTAATTCTTGGATCCGCTTCTGCTCACAGTCAAATATTTATAGATGTTTTATGGATTTTTTACTGGATTCATGTGAACCCACATATTTCATTTAGCAAATAGCCCATATGATTGTACTGGCCCATTTTGGAAGTCCAACACAAGGTCCATGAGACCAGCCCATAAAAGGTTAGATGCTAAACTGTCCAATCCATTAAACACCTCTTTTTATCAGTCTTGGAAGTTGTCTTTCAGTGTAAACTGTTTTTGTGTCAAAAACTCAAAATTTCTTCTTGGTTGAGAAGACGTTTGAGAAATACTGAAAATGGTGCCTCATGAGTATCTCTAAGTGTATCTTCTACTGCTTATTTATTCCTTTTTTATTCCACCAAGTTTTTAGTCAAGTAGAGGAGATTTTGTGACTATTACATCTAAGTAATATACAAAATTTTCCCTGTAGTTTTGCCATGTCTTGTTTATACAACATCAAGAAGACATTCACCAAGGATAAAGGTTGAGCACATTTATCTACAAAGATAGTTATTATATTGTTTGTATCGTATAAAAACATTCCACCTCCTTGATTAGCCTAGAGTAGCTCTAAATATGAATAAGAAATGAAGCATTTGATTACTTCATGCATGCTTCCCTTGGCTTGGAGGATAGAGCTCAGTTGGTAGAGCTCTTACTCTTTCAATTGAGTCCTTGCGATTACGAGTTGGATGCCTGATTTGTCCTGATCTTGTACTTGAACCGGGCATTCAGTTTTCTAAGTAAAAATTGGTGAGAAGAAAAATAAAATAATAACTAAATCTCCTTATTCTGCCATGAAACTAGAATTGCCAAGAAGGTAAGGACAATTGAAGTACTTGAACCACACTCACTGTTATTCTACCTCAATTCTCTATTTATCTATTTCTTCACAACACACATATTATTTGTTGCAAACCAAGCCTATGATATGTATTGTCCCAGTTGATCCAATGGGCTCTAGGATTTGTCTTTGGGCTATGACTCATTGTACCAGAAGCATGTCTGTCATGTTAACTTGTGTGTTGTCTTATAGTATAACATGTTACTTCTCTCATTCTCTGATGTGATATTTGATAACGTTTAACATGTACCCCTATTTCAAAAGTTTGTCTGCTTAGAAGTCCGTCAGTTCCTTTTCGTATATATTATGTATGCTCTTCTACCACAAAGAGCTAGTTGAGTTGATTACGTTTGTGCATGTAGTGTAGATGAAGCTTGACATATAATTGGCATATTCAGAGTAACATTATCAAACAATGACTAGTCTTAGAAATAAGGATAGCCCAAAAAGGTCTTTATGTTGCTGTTATATTATATATCAGACAAGCGATACTGAGGCATTCCCATCATCTACTCTGCACTTAGTGGGTCACATTGTTCCACCACAGAATTGGGACCATTTCTTTCTTTATTTGGATTTCTTGACTATTGGTAGAGAAATACAAATAGGGCTATGTAAAATAAATAGTTTAAATTTTAGGTTTAGCAAACATAAAAATAATATTTGTATGTTATAGCTATAGTTTGCATAACAAATTTTATGTTTGCTATGGAGCATTAGATCTGTATAAAAATCGTGTATAAAAATCGCGACATCTGATTAGTATAAAACGCAACGATTTGTATAAATCGGGCGTGTGTCTATGAAAATTGTGTTTGTACAGGTATATGTTCTTTATGTTTGTATATCTGCATAAAATTTGAATTTGTATACAATTGAATCGAAATAAAATATTTGTATGTCAAATATCTCTCTCGCACTTTATACAACACAAATTATACATAGTAATTTGTATAATTTGTGGTTGTATAAAGCGAGAAAGAGAGAAAGGCAAAAGAGAACTGGTAGGGAAAGATCTATATTTGTATAATTATAAGTGTATAAGATGAAAATATATGTATTTGTATATATAGTTTTCTCTCGCTTTATACAAACACATTTTATACATTTGTGTTTGTATAAAGTGAGAGAGGCGAGGGAGAGTGGCGAACGAGAATTCTGGAGAGAGAGCCGAATGACAAGTGTTTGCTACGGATTAGAATTAAATGAAACTATGGTTATAGCATTTAATTTGAATTAATAGTTTGCTATTTTATACAATTTTCCTAAATAAATATTTTGATTAATTAGAGTCATTGAACTAAAACTAATAAAATTTAATTATTTGTTAACGCTTAATATTTTATTAATAAGGTGTTATAGCAACACATTCTTATACTTTTATGTATAATACACACACAAATCCAGAAATCAAACCAAATACCCAATTAATCTATACTTTTCGATCGTAGATGTAATAGAGCTATCCAATAATTTGGCTAAATTCGGCGTAGTTCTCACACCTATATTCACACCCCATGTTATGTTGATGGTTAAGTGTTAGTAGTATATTCGAACATATGTCATGTATCTATTAATTTGGAGTAAATATCCTCATGTGAGTACATTTTTACCAAATAGAATAACATATATACAAATGATGTGTTTAACTTACCTCAGCTAATTTGAGATGGGAAATATCATTGATTGATTGATGATGATGAAAAGGGATATGAACTTTCTCTTTATGAAAGATCATTCTACAATATGGTTCAAAAGATACTAAACTTTATGAGTACTGGAATTAGATAAAATACAGAAAACTGGGAATGAACAGGTTATAATATCTCTGTTCATCCCATAGAGAAAAGTTAAAAAACAAGAGACTGATACTTGATTAATTTGAACAAAAGAAGTCATATAACTAAATAGCTACACATCTTCAAAATTAAACATTTACACTGCCCACAATATAAAAATGGTCTCTACCACATCTCAAGAAGAGATTCTACAAATATCCAAAGCACTTTTAACCTAAAAGTCAAAAAAAATTCAAGTCATGTGGAGGGTAAGCAGGGGTGCATCTACAGACGAAGTTATGGGGTTGGTAAGATCCAATAGAAAAAAGGATTGTAATCGGAATTCATAAACTTAAAATTTTGAATCCTACTTACAAAGTCGGAATGACTTCTAGCTAGCCAGAACTGCCCATATCAACTCAGGATCAAAAGAAGGCATTGTTGCTAAGGAATAATCTTCCAACTCCGATTCCAGCACAGACCTTTCGAATTGATGTGTGATGCTAATGACATGGCAGTTATTGTTCTCAGGCCCCATGGGGCAGTCACCAAGAACAGAGCAAGGTGATTTCTCACTATTCAAGAATCCATCATCAGAACTACTTGAAATCACATCACTATGACTCCAACTTTCACTACCAACCAATGAAGAAGAAGAACAAGATGATGAATCCAAATCCACATTTTTTGCAACTTTTTTCTCACTTTCAACAATTTTCTTTCCACCCTTTTTAGCTCTCTCCCTTTTAACCTTCTGGCAAATAGCTTGAATCTTAGCATCCACAGAATTCTTCAAAGCATTCATCTTTGCACTATCTCCAAATCCCAACTCACTTGGATCGCGTAGATTTGGAAAGTTCAATCGTGCATATTCCCCGCGAAGTTTATAGGCTGCTCTGTCATAAGCATAAGCTGCAGCCTCAGCATTGTCATAAGTTCCAAGCCAAACTCTCATTCTCTTCTGAGGAAGTCTTATTTCAGCCACCCATTTTCCCCAATGCCTTTGTCTCACTCCTCTATATAACTTTTTCTTGTTTGGACTAACATATCTTTGTGAATATAATGATCCTTGAAGTGGGGTTTGTGTGGAAGTTGTTAGAATTGTGACATTTGCTCTATTTTGTTCCCAAAATTTTTGTGAATATAAAGATCCTTGAAGTGGGGTTTGTGTGGAAGTTGTTGGAATTGTGATATTTGTTCTATTTTGTTCCCAAAATTTTTGGAGCAAATCTTTTTGTCTGAGATAGACTGAAGAACATAGTGGTTCAAGAACAGGACTAGTAGTAGTCATTTGATTTTTTGGTTCTTGGCAATGAAAAAATATTGAGTCTAAAGTGTTGGTACTACTTGTTAATAGGATTTGAGATAAAGATGATCTAATTTGAGCAGCCTCATCAGATGAGTAAGACATGGTTTCTTGAATTCTGCTCATAGTTTCTTGATTTCCTCAAGAGAGACAAGTGATGTAGGAGAAAAGAGAAAACACAAAAAGGAAAAAAGGATACTAAAAAAAATTGTCCCTTTTGTTGAGATTTATAATACACTGATCCAAGAAAATTTGAGGGTGTGTTAAAAGTTGAAGAATTTGTTCTTGATGATTGGCTTATAAGAGGAAGAAAAATTGGAAATTCAGGGGAAGTTGGGATTTGGATAAAAAAGATTTGTTGTGTTTGATATCTATGGTGTGTGTGAAAGTTTGGTTTCCTCTTTGTTGTATTTATAGCTACAGAAAGGATCTTTTTTTCTCTTTCTTCTAAAGGTCCTTAACTTTTTGTTTTCAAAAGTTCAATATTTATGATTCACCTTTTCACTTTTTAGCTCTTTTGACAATCTCTGAACTACTACACATTCAATAACTAATGGAGCTGTTTATTGTGAGGTCTAAGTAATACTTTCAGGGATAATTTTATCCTGCGTTTGTTTGGAGGTATTAGGCAGTCTTAAGATTATTTCTCATCTTTTATACTTTAGTGATGAGATAAGTTATCCTATATATATGGTGAAATAACTTGTTTCCAATCAAACGATCCCAAAGAGTAAAAGTTATATGTATTGTTGACGTACAATATATGGACATAATTGCAAGTAATCATATTTAAGATCATTGTTATAGCGGATTAAATAACATTGGAGGTGTAAAAAGTTCATTTTTGTAGTAAGAAAGGAAAAGTAACCCAAAAATGGACGGGATCAAGAGGTTGATAGGTATCGACAATCAGTAACAGAGTTAGAAATTTTTATGAGAGGGAATTAATAGATACTACAGTGTTACATCTAGGATTTGAACGTCATAAAAGGAGATTTAACCGTTTTTATATTAAAAAAATCTCTAGTTACACAATTTAAGTTATCGACTAGAGAATTTAGTTGAAACCCATTAATTCTACCTACCCCTGCATGTTGGTGGCTGACTCAAGTGACCCCGTAATAATCTATCTAGCACAACACTAACATTGAATGTTGAGGGTCTATTAAAAATAATATCTCTACCTCACAAAGATAAGATTAAGATATGCATAAATTCTAACCTTCCCAAATTTCCCGTGAAACTGTATTGAATATGTTGTTGCTACTAAATCAAATAATTCGATTTTACAAGTTACATATTAAAGTAAAAATTCATATATATATATTTTTATTATAGCTTTAACTAATATTAAGCTCAAATACAAAATTGTGTTTTGCATTGAAGACAATGTTGTACAAGAAAGCAAAAAATATCTTAAAGAGAAAAATGTGTACCCCATAAACAGGCTGTATATTGAGTACAGAGTTTGGAAAATAAGCTTTAGAAGAACTCACATTCACAACTAACAACTGGTATGGACCCCAAAGGACTAATTCCGCAGGTGAAGTCTGAAATAAAAAATATACGCAGATTTTACCTCCGATGTATCCGTGCCAACCTCAGAAAGAGTGGCCCTATGTGTATTTATTTTGGTTTAAATCCCCTATTTATTGATGAGATACAAAAAGGTACTTTATGTAGTATTTAATTTACTATGGCAGAATAGTCAGCAGTACTCATAGGACTTTTGAACAGTTGAGCGTCTTTCTTATATCTCCTATTTCCTGGCAGGGGAAATTTGTTTTATCTATATTTAATAGTTTTGGTTTCTGAAATTTATTGATCCGATTAATTTAGATGTATCTCATTAAAGGATAAGACGAGTTTTTATTAGTGGGTTTTCATTTGAAAGTCTCGAATTTGAGACAAAAAGTTAGATATTATGGATATGTTGATTAATTCAAGGTGAAAATGGTTCAAGAAGTACCAACTTTGGAGGGTGGGGTGGGGGTGAATTGATTCACCCCAAAACGGATGTTATATGCTTTAATTCTTGGGATAAGTATTGAAAACATATCTAAACTTGACGTGAATTATTACTTTAGTCCTCCAACTATTGACAACCTTAAAAACACCCCTCTACTTGATTAAGTGAATTTTAAAATGCTAACGTGGCGCATAAACTTATCTAGCAGTTTACTACTAAGTTTCAAAGATTGAATTTAGTTGTCAATCTTAGTTAGTAGGATAGAAAGATCAGTGTATGTGTGAGATGAGACTAGTGTAGGAATGTGGAAAACGAGCAACACTAATGTAATAATGAAGCTAAATAGCGCAAATAAGAGGAGAAATTACATACCCAATATTTCAAAATTCCACCAAATTTGGATATTGTCTCATTTTGCACGTATCCAACAAGTAAAAATTGCATATTATACTCTATTATAAAGAAAAAAAAGTCAATAATAGTTAACACCCATTTTCATGAAAGGTTCTCGAGTCATTGTTGATTTTACTCTACATATAAATAAGAAATTAGAAACATGTAAACAAATTGAGGTGAATTTATAATTTAGATGAGATGAGACTGGAATAATGTTAGTATGTAATTTGAGGTGGATGATTTGAAGTTTAAAGATTTGTTACAATATACAATAATGATTGAGTTAAACAACAATAACCATATACATAGTGAGTAAATCTTACAAGTGAATTTTGAGGACAGTCAAGGTTGGTGTGTACACAATCTTAATCTTACCTCGAAAATTTAGTGAGATTGTTCTAAAAGATCCTCGACTCAAATAACATGAATGATTAGGTTCAGAATCAATCTTCATAATTGCTTAGTGTCTCTTAATACGTATATAAAGTATATGCAAAAACCTAATGAACTTACTTGAACTCATATATTATGGTATAGATTGCTTATGATGTAACTTCCATTTTGTGTGGTTAAGATAATTATAAAACAAATAATAAAAATTTAAATAATTATGCTTTTGAAGACCAATTCTTCTAGTATGGATGATTGACCAAAAATGACATGAGTGGTTAAAAACACAAAAAAAAAAAGGGGGCTACCAAAATGGGCCCAAAACTTTCATTTCATTAAAAACGTAAAGTTAAATGGGCCCACATATCTTTCATTGAATGGCCTTTTGTAGACAGGGCTCATGTAGATATGGGCCCACATATCTTTTCATTTATAGCCCAAAAAGTTTTTCTCTGTATTTGAATGTGATACAAACCTAACTCCTCCCTCAAAAGTCAAATCTAAAACCGTACAATTTGTATTTTTACTTTTTGTTTTTTCACAAACTTTTTGATTTTATTTGTTTTTTTTTATATCTTTTGATTATCTTCATAAATCCTACCTCATGTTCAAACCTTTTGCTTTTGTTGTTTTTTTTGCTATCCACCAGATTTTATGTAAGCAATATCGATCAATTTGTTGAGAGTTACTATGAAAAGTTATTGAAAGAATAAGTTAATGTTACGATGTTTTTTATATTTCAAATTAATTTAAATTGTTCAATTTTTAAGAATAATTTTAGAATTTTCTTTCATATTTACCTTTCATTTGTATTTTCGGTACGATGAGTTCAAGAAACTTTAATTTTTAGTTAGTAGTGAGAGTAGTTATGCTGATCAATCTTTAGTCATTCTATAGAGTAATTTGACAATAATTAAAAAGGATAAAAATAAAAAGTAATGTCTTGATATTTTTTTTCTTAAAGGGTGTACAATATCTCAATAATTCACTTATTTTGAAATAGAGAGAATTCATATTTATGGAAAGTCAATGGAGGATTTGGTCTAATACTTTCCCTTCTTTTAAATCATTTTATTTAAAAACATCTTTTCTTAAACAAATGATTTATCGAAAAAAACTTCTCAATCTCATTCTTTCTATACATGAGAAGTAATATACTGAATATATTATTTTCTATTGTAGCCAAGAAAAAAAAAAGCTTTTTTTTTTTTTTTTGACATGACAAAGGAAATGTTCAAGGTGTGTGGGTTGGGTTGGGGGGTAAGAGGTGGTTGTTTAAAGAAGTGGGTTATTAATTAAAGAGGGGCCACTAATGCAAAAAGTTGAGTCTTGGAAGTATTAGGGGGACTGACTCCATATGGGTGCACAACAGCTAAAACGATAGCTCCCTTGGTCCCCCCAAAATGGTCTAATCCCAAAAAGAACACGTCTCTACTTCATCCTTTATCTGACCAAAATAAATAAATATAATTATCTCAAAATGATGATGTAATTATGATATCATGCTTAGCACATATAAAATTTGGTTATTATATGTGTTTATATTTTTTTTCTAATTTTAATTTATGTGTGTGCTACACAAAATGAGAATGAATTAGGTTTATGTAATTCTATGATTTTAAATAGAATCGTCAATATGGGCTAAGCTCGTTGGACCGACCTGGCTTAACCCGTGATTTGATAGGGTTGGGCTACAATTTTTGGAGCCCATTTAAGAAAATGACTTTTTAGCCCGACCTGAATAAATCTGCCGATTTGTGAGGCTTGAGAAATATGGATAGGGCTGATCCGTGGGCCAAATAAAAATTAATTAAAAAATAAAAATAAAATAGATTATTAAAAATAACAAGAGTTTAAACTCAAAATCTGTTTAAAGTTTTAAATATTACAATTTAAATACAAATTATATTTATAAAATATGTAATACATAAAATAAAAATTCACTAAAATTTCTAGGGAATCACTACATAGGCCATACCCTATGGAATATTGTCATAGTTTTTGTGTTTTATTATGATCATTGGAAAACAATTAGGTTAATATTTTTATTTAGTTATTTATGCTTTTACGTGAAATCAAACTTAATAAATATTATAAAAATAATTTTATTTGTGAATTTGATTAACAAATAGTAACACTAACACCATGTAATATTGTCTTGTCAATATTTATGATAACATTTTTAAATTATAATTTAATTTAAAAAATTATAAAAAATATACTTTTTAGATAAAAGGGTTGGCCCGACAAATTCCGTAGCCACATACTTGTGGGTTGGGCAGGCCATTTTTTGGCTCACACCAAAAATAGGCTAGCCCAGCCTGACCCCTGAAATTTCAAAGCATGTATGGGTTAACCCAAATGGATTGGACCAACCCACATTGACAGCTATAATTTTAAAGATCATTTCATATTGGATCAAACGGAAACACAATTATATTATTGAAACTTATCTATCTATCTATATATATATATATATAAATAGTCAAAAATGTGAATAGGATATCCTTTTTAGTATGTGTTTTGAACTTTATAGAT